GAGTTGACCCAATTGTGAAAAAACTCGAGGCGTTCGGTGGGATTTGAACCCGAGTTTGTAGCTTAGCGGTTAGATCGTTGGCTGCCGGTAAAGGCCTTCTCTAATGCACTGATTCCAATCCCGCCGAACGCCTCGAGTTTTTTCACAATTTGGTCAACTCACAGTAACCAAATCTGCCAAACCTCCTAATAATTCTGAGGAAATCAAAAAGCTCGAAAGTTTAGACTTCAACTTTTGCAGATGTCTGATATTGTGTTAAATCCACCCCCTCCCCTAACGTCAGCATGAAAAAATGTGGAGAATGTTGCGACTGAGGTCACAGAAGGCTGCAGCTACACTTAGAGGCCCTTGAATAAATCTGGTCTACTCCGACTTATAAATTAACTTCTGAGGGAATTAAAAAAGCTGGAAAGTACAGAATTGAACTTTTGCTGATGTCTGATAGTGCTTTAAATCCACCCCTCATCCCCTAACGTCAGCATGAAAAAGAAAGCTGCAGCTGCACCCAGCACTCACCCCCCCCCTTGAACTGGTTAGAAACGGCAGGTCGGTTAAATGACACTGAGCAGCGGTTCTTAGTGAGAAAGTGAAGTTGAACATTTTGCGCAGAGATTGGCAGACAATATATCAATCTCATTGATGAACGTTCACCCGGCCGTTAACGGACCTCATCTGTACCGCTCTGTCTGGAATCTGGACAGAGTCCCTGACAGCCGTAGCAGCTGGTAGTTTAGGCAGATAGTATTCCTGGCAAAGACAAGGGAGACAGGAATGGCCCTTTCTGGCTTATTAGTCGTCGTCACTTAGTGTCAATATCCTAACCCGGCCTAACCCGGCTAGACAACGAGCTTAATGGCTCAAAAGTTAGGGCATTTGACTCTGATCAAAGAGGTCGCGAGTTCAAGGCTCTAGTCGGACACCATTTGGATCTGGGTCTGGACTCGCTGACGACGGTTAATAAGCCAGGAATGGCCATTGCAGTCTCCCCTGTCTTTGTGGGTTATACTATCTGCTTACACTACCAAGATATTAGTCTGTTCCTCCGGCCAAAAGTTACCAAGTGAAGGAGGAGTAAAAGACATACCCTGCCATCGGCTGCAACACAATTCATGTTGATTTTCGATGTAAATCTAAAAGGAGAGAAAGAGAGATCAAGCTTAACATTAGCTGCCAACGCTTTATAGTTGTATCAAGTGAAGGGACTAGTCCAAAGTCACAGCCCTCTGAAAATCGAAATTTCCACCAGTTAAAAGATGCAGCTAGAGTTATGTATGTAGACTAGTTCGAAACCATGCCAATGTAGTGCTTAGCGAACTAGTATCAGATATAAATGGGCTCGGAAATAAAATGTAGCTTAGGCGATCCATTACGATTAGTAACAAAGCTGTCAACAGCCAGCTCCCTTAAACCAGGTACACTCACAAAAACACACGATGCGACATCTCATGCTTACCAATAAAAGCGAACATGCGAATTCCGGGAAGTAAATGAGAGGATAATATGCAATCGTTGGGATAATAATTTTATCCGCCTGACGTTTTGACACCCGTCGCGGATTCTTCATCAGAGGCATCAGCGGACAAAAGCAGGAGAAATGGGTTTCTGCTACCGTTTTCCGCTGATAAGTCTGATTAAGAATCCGCGACGGATGTCGAAACGTCAGGCGAATCGAAGTCTTTTCCTAGTGATCGCAGCTTCTCCTTCTTAACCTCACACCTAGAAGGTGGCAGCCAGTGAAAAAACCTATTTCTAAAATCTACGCTGTCCTGAATTCGAGTCTGCTAGCTTACTTGACTTCTGGTCGAACATCCGGGTACTTTTCACCGCATTTGATTTTGAGAGAGTACATTCTCCCGTAGAAGTTGGTATCCTTCGGACCAACGATCATCCCGGTCCAGTTAGTGAGTGAATTATCATCCGATTGCTCCAATCCCCAACTTACACTTGCATCGATTGCGCTTTTTTGGCCCTTTTCGAGTTCATCCAAAAGGTAAAAATTTCGAGGAACAATAACTGCAGGGGTGAAAAAAGGGATATACGTTAAAATTATCGCAAAAATTAAGCGCGGGCAGAGTAACTAGAGTCACACAGTAATTTCTGGTTGCTTGCGCGTAGACCTCTACGAAAAACCTGTGGTAGATGATCGTTGGCCTTACTACTCCATCGGTCTCCACCACACATACTAATAAAAAAGGTCGCCTATCAACCATCTTCATTCATAAGGCCTGTCTCGCTAGTCCCCCCTAACAACGCAGTCTTAGGCTAGCAGTTCTGGTGGACCTGTTCACAACCTGGCCATCCTAATAACCACCGTTGCCACGCTCCTGAGTGCAGCCACAGCGTTCGGCCGTCTATTTGGGTTCTCCACAAGAAACTGCCGCGTCTTGTCTCTCCGTTCTACCCATTGATGGCTTTGCCATCATGACAGGCCTCCAGCGTCTTCACCAGAGAGTTGGTATGGGCGCAAAATTCAGCTACCACCCCACAGTCCTTTTGGGTGGCCATTCACCTCCGATTGCGGCCACAGAACGACAA